TTTTAAACTTTTTTTAAATTACAGGATATGTGTACATCTACGAAAGATAAATTGAATCCTGTATACGTAAAAGCATGTTTTGGGGTTGGTTTTAGTCTATTTATTGTATAGAAAACCTGTATGTTGGGATACACTTGAAAAAAGCAAAATATGACTAGATGCTGTAAAAGGGAAAATTATTTAACACATTTTTGTGCCTTTTTATGTATGTAATCTAGACAATCTTGAAAAGCTTGTGTACAATTTAAGCAAAATTAAAGTCTTTGAGAAAAAAAACAGCTGGGTTGTGTGGTTGTACAATGTGTAGGAATGATTGTAATCATGAATAAAATGATTAGAAAAAAAGTGTAGAAACTATTCTGAAATTCCGCTGCCATTCAGTATGTTCTCATGTACAGTAAGTTAGGCTATCAATGTCAAAGTGTTTTCAAGGAAGATCTCACTGAATCAAAATCTCATTGTTTCTCATAGTTATTCTTACATTGCCTTACCAATATGGCGGCATTGTAACTTTTGCATTTGTATACTGTCTTTTAGGGTCCAACCCCGAGTGAGCCTTTATTGTCACCCACTGACTACAGGACTAAATCCCCATCATCAGAGAAGGAGATATTCCACATCCTTCCTAAACTGCAGGCAAAGAGAGCTGACTTCCTCACCGTCATGCTTACAGGAAGCCTACACCAGCGACGGGCCTTCACAGCCACACCACCTGAGACACAAGATGAGGGACCCAGAGATGACGATGTCACGAAGAGTGAATCTAGTAGTGGGGCAAGCCAAAAGAGCACTGAACGTAGTCAAGATGGGGCTCCATCCACCTTAGTGGCTGATGATCCACACAAGGAGCCAAAAGAACCAGGTTCGATGGCTGATGTAGATCCCGACCAAGAGGATATCTCAAAGACCCTTGTCTTGTTTTCACCAGGAGACACAAAGAAGTCTCCAAATGCTATAAATGGGACTGAAGTGGATCAGGGTGTGGCAGGATCTCAAAATGAGCAGTTGGATGAAGTTGGTCGACTGGTACAGATCCAGGAGGACATAAAACAGGCAGAGACACCTATAGATGGAAGGCGACCTGATGCAATTGGTGTTGACCCACTCATACAGACGTCTAAATCAGTGGCAACCATCTCAACCACTCAAGTGGCTTCAGCCTCAATTGCATCGCCCCCTTTCTCCAAAGTGGAGCGAACTTTTGTACACATTGCAGAGACAACTCATCTGAATGTCATGTCTTCTAGTGGTGCACAGGTTCCTGAACTTTTAGAGGAGGTTGAAGGCAAATCACAGGCCAAGTGGATAAAGGACAAGTCAGTCCTTTCTCAAGAGCCAGGAGAAGTGGCATGTGTCCAGTATGAAGTCACCTCTCAGACTCTTACAGAGGGGCCTCAGGTACTCAATGTTCAGGATGGGTCTTTGCCAAATGAGTCCGGTGAAAAACAGGATGGTCTTGTGATTCCTTTACCCTTAGAATCCAGGGAGCCTATCCATCAAGATTCATCAACTGACTCCAAACAGGACATGCAACCAAAAGAGGAACATCAAGAGGAGGACACAGTACCTGAGAGTGTTTCTAAACATCCATGGCTAAGGAGCAAGAGTCGAATTCCTATCCTAGTCCCAGAAGAGGAGCCAGGATCTGAACAATCCCTGTCCAACAAAGAACGACTACGTAGAAGAGCCATGCAGCAAGACCTGGCCCGTCAAGTTGTGGAAAGACAACGTCAGGGTCACTGGATGAGACTGAATTCCAGGACTTCATCCTCGTTATCTTCTGGAGACGAGCCCAAGAGACCTTCAGAGACTCTTTCTACTACGGGCTTAGAGGAAGATATTCATGAATCTGATGATTCCATCAACAAGCTCAAGAAGGAGGCTGAGGAAAAGTACAGAGCTGAGTGGCACAGCAGGATCCCACGACCAGTCACACCTATAAGGAAGCTTTCAACTAAACTAGTGGTTGCAGCTCCTGTTATTCAACCTGAAGCTGGGACTACAAAATTTGAACAAAAGGCAAGCAATGGGTAAGTCTAGTTTAATATAACTGAATTTTATTACATGTACACTAATTTTGCTCAACCCTGTTTACAGCATACCATAAGGTGATACATTAAATAGATATATGTGTGTGTGTGTGTGTGTGTGTTTTCACTTTAGCCCAAAAGTACAGTCACAATCAGGATCAAGTGCCCCAGCACTTCACACAAGATCAAAATCAACACTGTCCCACTCTACCATGTCAAGTGGAAGCAATCGCATGCAGCAAGACCTGGCCCGTCAAGTTGTGGAAAGACAACGTCAGGGTCACTGGATGAGACTGAATTCCAGGACTTCATCCTCGTTATCTTCTGGAGACGAGCCCAAGAGACCTTCAGAGACTCTTTCTACTACGGGCTTAGAGGAAGATATTCATGAATCTGATGATTCCATCAACAAGCTCAAGAAGGAGGCTGAGGAAAAGTACAGAGCTGAGTGGCACAGCAGGATCCCACGACCAGTCACACCTATAAGGAAGCTTTCAACTAAACTAGTGGTTGCAGCTCCTGTTATTCAACCTGAAGCTGGGACTGCAAAATTTGAACAAAAGGCAAGCAATGGGTAAGTCTAGTTTAATATAACTGAATTTTATTACATGTACACTAATTTTGCTCAACCCTGTTTACAGCATACCATAAGGTGATACATTAAATAGATATATGTGTGTGTGTGTGTGTTTTCACTTTAGCCCAAAAGTACAGTCACAATCAGGATCAAGTGCCCCAGCACTTCACACAAGATCAAAATCAACACTGTCCCACTCTACCATGTCAAGTGGAAGCAATCGCATGCCTCTTTCCTGTATTCCGGCGTCATCACGCCGCAGCTTGAGCACTACAAACTGCACTTTCTCTTCAACCCGTATAGCTAGTCCTTCACCCCATAGGCTACCCCTGCGAACCGCAGTTAGCGAATCCCGCAAGCAGCCATTTGCCCTCCGAGCCACTGTGGAGCTCCTAATGAAGTCTAGGACTACTACTTGCAGTGGTCCTGCAAAGGACAGTAAACCATCACCAAACCAACCCACCACTACATGTGTCAGGGATCGAACCAAAGCTTCTGCTCATTCGAAGAACTCAGTTCCCTTGAAAAGGGAAAAAAGCACAAGCAACAACACAGCTGCAGCCAGATAAATCACTGTGACTGCTGTTTACTGGGATCGTCTCTTCTCAATTACTTGAACATATTGCCTCAATTTAATCTGCTCCATTGACCAAAATTAACCTTTTTAATTAATTTAATGTTCTTCTTAATCAATGAATGGCTAGTTCCATTTTTGGATTCTGCACCAAATAATTTAATGTTGTACTTTAAGATGTAGAGCTTTTCCACTACATGTGTCAGGGATCGAACCAAAGCTTCTGCTCATTCGAAGAACTCAGTTCCCTTGAAAAGGGAAAAAAGCACACGCAACAACACAGCTGCAGCCAGATAAATCACTGTGACTGCTGTTTACTGGGATCGTCTCTTCTCAATTACTTGAACATATTGCCTCAAAATTTAATCTGCTCCATTGACCAAAATTAACCTTTTTAATTAATTTAATGTTCTTCTTAATCAATGAATGGCTAGTTCCATTTTTGGATTCTGCACCAAATAATTTAATGTTGTACTTTAAGATGTAGAGCTTTCACTTTGATGGAAGTTTCTACATAATAGAGGAGATGTCACATTTAGCTTACATGGTGCTATACTGTATATGTGTTGTTCTGTTGTGTATATTTCATTTAATATATGGTTTTTGAAGGTGTATTTTATTATTAGTTAGATGCCAAGTTGTCTTTGGCCCTTGACACACAATAATGATAAAATGATTATGTAAATTTATTTATAACATCTGAAACAATCATACAGTATATTACATGTATTTAGCCAGCACAAATTATTATAAACCACCAGACACAGAACGTTGTAAAATCTGCCACATATCTATGGACAAATGCACAAATGTCCTCTGGTCTGCAGCTCGGCCCTCTTTGTAAACCTTGTGATGATGGGCATGCCTTGTCTTTAGCTTGTTACAAGTGTTTGATGATACTGCTGTATGCTTGTACATATTCTTTTCAGTATTTCTTGCAGAGACCTCTTTATTTTTATCATGCAAAGGAAATAGTGAAAGATTTGGATTTTAATTTTGTTAAAGGAATATATTGTGGGTTCTACACCAAGTTGTCTCATTTTCTAAGCATGGCAGAAATTACACCATTATTAATAATTGTCAATACGGATTATTTCTAAATGAACGATTCCCACCTCTTTTGCTCTTATTACAATGGTGAGATGTTAATCAAGATTTTTGTTGGAATAAGGAGCATAAAATGATCTGAGTCTTAATCGTGTTATGTTGTTGTTTTTCACATGAGACACATTCCACATTCTTTCCAGTTTTTGAAAAAAATATACACAAAAACTCCATATAACAAACTGGTTCTTTTTTTAATGAGTCAGCCAAAAATATTCACAAACTCACTCACATTACCAGTTTGAATCAGACAATGACTCTTTACTGAGATAACATCTGAATCCCCCACAGAATCGGATGTTACAGCGTTGTTTTATAAATTAATAACATAATTTAAAAAAGCAATATTTTCATTGTAATTTTTATATTTGTTGGTGTTTTCTTAAATATCTGAAATTAAATTGACCAAATCTTGCAATAGAAAGAAAAAAGTGGTAAAATGGCTTTTCTTCTTTTCATATTTAATTCAGATATCTAACTTGTTATTTTCAATCCAAAAAAGGTCATTGGAACCAATGTATTTTCTATTTCCTCTCTCCATCTAGTCAGGTGAGGGATAGTGAACTTTTAAGCCCTAGACTCTTCTTTTTCTTGAGCTTACCAAAACAACGACCTTCTTGTGTCTCAAACAGGCCCCAAAAAGCGTGACCGGGAACAGTGTAATGATAACATATATAAATTCAGCATCACACATCTCCTCGGACTACTCTCTGCTTGCTGTTCACTATAGACCGACCCAAGTGTTTCTCCAGAGCAGAGCAAATTTCATCAAGAAGATCTAGATTCTGATGGGTGAGTAGAACGTTCATTTGGAACAAAGAAGAATATCAAATCTGTTTTATAGCTCATCTCACTTTCAGCTATGAGGTTTGAGGACGTCCTTCATGAAATTGGTGGCTTCAACAAGTTCCAGTTTCTGGTTTTATACATCCTATGGCTCCCACGCGTCATCCTTCCACTGCACTTCCTGCTCCACAACTTCATCTCAGGTGTGCCACCCCACCACTGTGCCCTGCCTCACTTGGATGACCAGTACGCAGCTGGCACAGAGAAGGATGGCACAGAGGTGTCGGCACAGATTCTGGCACTTGGCATCCCACGTAATGCAGATGGATCCTACAGCTCCTGCAAGATGTACCCCCTTCCCTTGGACTTTGACCCAAATGGTGACCTCTCCCTAGTGTATGGAAACCGATCAAATGTGTCGGTGCCATGCCAGCACGGATTTGTATATGACCGCTCACAGTTCGCCTCAACAACCGCAACTGAGGTAAGAATGTACAAGATGCATTCCTGTATTTTATATGTTGATGATGTTCCAAGTTACTTATTATATCTACCACAAAAGTGAAAAGGTCTTTGTACTTTATTTACCCCTAAATTACCCCTGACAATTTTCAAGTGACGGCTGAAAACTCATCTCTTTTGAAGCTAATTGACTTCATCATAAAAAAAAAAACACTTTATTTATTCCTTCTCTTTCTAACTTGTACTTATCTGAACAATGTCTGGAAACTTGGTATTAGTGGCACTTCCTGTATCTGTTTGCCTCTTTAAGAAGAATCGCTTTATGTATCCCCCAATTGTAAGTCGCTTTGGATAAAAGCGTCTGCAAAATGACTAAATGTAAATGGTACATATTAATGCCTTAAAGGTACATGTTAGTATATATAGGGAACATTTCAGTACATTTTGAAAGGGTACCGTCCCATGTTATTTATGGACATTATTTCACCAATATATTCTGTAATAAATATGTTAACGAAATCAGAAATATTAAATATCCTTTGTTCTTGCTTATTAAGGTATGATCTGTCTCTCTTTTTCCAGTGGGATTTGATATGTGACAACAAAAGTCTAAACCAAGCCCATGCCACATTTTTCTTCATCGGAGTGACAATAGGTTCTATCATGTTTGGCCAGTTGGCAGATAAGTATGTTATTTTTTTTTAATTAATATTATGTTTTAGAACCATTTGTTCCATGCTTTTTACTTATGATTGTTTATTTTCTCATATTTCTTTCATCAATGACCCTTATACAAGATTCCTTAGGCGGAAAGCCGGTCGCATGACTTTTCTACAATAAAGAAAAGTCTTTACTCACATGTCTGAGGTTGAAAAACGATTAATTCTGCTTGATTTGTTCTGCATAGCTGACTTGTACATATTCATAATCATTATTTGCTTGTACAACAGAGTTCAAATATTCTTTGACTCATTATTTGTCACGGAGCGTGTCACACATCCAAAACTGCTTACCTCAGGCTATCTGTGTAACAAGCAAGACAGAGAATGTGCTCGCTGTTTCCCATGTGATTTTCAATGTTTGAATATCTTGCATGGTCAAATATATATATTTATATCAATCCACAGGTTTGGCCGTAAGCCGATGATTCAGGTTTCCTTTGTGGCCAGTTCTGTTTTTGGAATTGTTGAAGCTTTTTCTACATCTTACGTGATGTTCGCCATAGCAAGAACCTTGTGTGGACTGGCCCTGACCGGGATGTCTATCACCACAGTGGCTCTGTGTATCTATCCGTTTCTCATTTCTTTTCAATCTCTCTAGTCAACATGAAAGCCAAGCATGTTCCCATGGCTGTTAATACCTTTATAAATTTGCTCAATCTTCAGGTGTTGAGTGGACAGACGTTAAACATCGCACATTTACGGGAACCATCATCAGTCTCGGGTGGAGTGTAGGGAACATGCTTTTGGCTCTTCTGGCATATCTCATCAGGGACTGGAGGCACCTCATCCTGGTAGTGACTTCACCCTGCCTTGTTGGCATAATTGCCTGGTGGTGAGTGGTGGAACTGCAAGTGAAAGAATAATTGGTTATTGGACATGAAAAATGTATTCAAATATGAATTATTCAAGATAATGTGGAAGAAAAGATTATCAGATTTCTATTTATTAATTAAAAAATATAAAATTATATATAAAAATATTATTTTTAAACTAACAATGTATGTATTTATTTAATATTATAATACTTTTTAGGTCTCTGAATGTGCTTTAAGTTACAAGAATATTTTTCTCGTGTGCATTTGATCTCAAAAGGTGGATTCCTGAGTCAGCAAGATGGCTGCTGGCCAATGGCAGGGTGGAAGAGGCAAAGAAGTATCTCATTCAGTGTGCTAAGATGAATGGAAAGTACAGTTACACTCATAAACTAGACACTGAGGTAAACATATCTAGCTATACTCTTATTTATTATTATGATAATCAGTTTTGATCTCATCCCATCCTCCTCATTCTTCATTAAAAACTAAATCAATCATTTTGACTGTCACCTGTTTAGACCTTAAAGAAAATCACCATTAGTGAGGTCTCCAACAAGAATCATTCCTACCTTGATCTAGTGAGGACACCGAAACTGAGGAAGATTGTGTTTTTCTCAGGGATTTTCTGGTATGTGAGGAGCTTTTTTGTTGTCCACTGTGATATAACAGTCAAAAGCTGTGAATCAACAGTGTTTATTTAAATCTACAGGTTTGCAGTTGCTTTTACCTACTATGGCATCAGCTTCAACATCACTGGGTTTGGCCTGAACATCTATCTCACGCAATTTGTCTATGGAGTTATTGAAGTCCCAGCTAAGGTCGGGACCTACTTCACTCTGGATCGGATTGGTCGTAGAAATGGCCAGGCGTGGTCTCTCATTATAGCAGGAGCTCTGATTGGACTAAACAGTATGATCCCAACAGGTATTCATTCATTCTTTATCATGCTGCCTCTCCAAATTTTATGGTGGATATTAATTATTTAAGAAATAATGTGTTGGTTTTGTTGTGCTGTTTCATCCACAGACTTTGCTGGTGTGCGTACAGGGATTGCAGTTATTGGGAAGGGATTCTCTGAGGCAGCGTTTACCATTGCCTTCTTGTACACATCTGAGCTTTACCCTACTGTACTCCGGTAATTAAAAATTTTTTAATTGATTGATTGATTGATTGATTGAATGAATGAAAAGGGCCGAACAACACTTTTAAATTTGTTAAATTTACATTTTATCCATAACTATGGCCCCTTGTTTTTGGAATGAATGAACTCTCTGCTTCTCTGTATCTTTCATAGGCAGTGCGGCTTGGGCTACACCTCTTTTATAGCCCGTATTGGAGGTTCGCTGGCTCCCATGGTCATTTTATTAGAGGACATGTGGCGCTTTGCACCCTCTCTAGTGTTTGCTGTCACTGCAGTTCTCAGTGGATGTGTGGTCTTCCTTCTACCTGAGACCACGAATGTTCAGCTTCCAGAGAATGTTCTGGATATAGAGGAGGGGAGGTATAGTATCATTCAACCAGTACATAAGCATACCAAAATAGCTTTCTGCTGAATCACACAAATTGTGAAGTACTGCTCCTCCTACAAGACTTTAAACAACCATTTCACAAAACGTTTTTAAGTGACTTACACTACATTCAAGCTATACATTTTATTAGTTCACCATTATACTGGATCTAATTGTGACATGCTGTGAAATATTGTTCTCTTATTTATTTATTTAATAAGGCACACAATGTCCACAGAATCAGAGAGGGATGTTGAACTCACTGTGATGAATTCATCGCCTGCGGCTTTACAAGAGAAGGATTCATGACGGCAAAAACTGTCAGAAAATCAATGATTCCTTACAGCTCGACATCCTAATGGATAGATGTGAATAAACAACATTAATTGCAAGACATTTATGGTGCACAAGGGATAAACAGGGTAAGATTGCACAATCCTAAAAACCCCAGTGTAGCTTAAAATGTCATTGAATTTAAAAGTCAACAAAGAGCTGTTTATTAAGGTTATTAAGGTCATAAGGTGTTGTTTTGGTATTTTCTCTTCTGTAGCTTTAAAGAAATAAAATGTAATGGTGTATGAATGTTTGCATGATTCTTGTGTACATTATGCATTTACTCTTGCTATGAAAAGTAAAAACGGAATGAAATGTAATGCATACAGTATGTAATTTGCCCTTGTGTCGACTGAAATTTAGAATTTAGAATTTTGATTTCAGAATTCAGTACATCGTCTATGTGACTATAGTGAGGTTTTAAAATATTGTGTGGTTAGAATGATTTAATTGTAGCACTCAACACATTCTGATTAACAGTATTTGTATATATATAATAATAATAACTTGCCTGTTAATTATTTTAGTAGACTCTCAAATAAATATTTTACACTGTTACCACAATTATGCTTTCAAGCTCTCTTGTCTGTCAGTCGTCTATCAATAACACTCTTTACCGGCAGGGGGTGCAAGTGCATCACATACAGCTTTAAATACAACAGAATGAGGCATAGTAGAATTTCATAGGTCAGCTGTTCGCTGACGTGCTGCTCTTAAGCTCTTAAAGAAATGTATATTTTATTAGAATTGTTATAAAAATCAAAATATGACCGTGAACAACATGGCAGATCCAAGACGACCGAATAAGATTTTTCGGTGAGTATTATGTCCGTATTTAAGACTCTTTAAGTGATTGAGATGAGAGTTTTGATTGGCTCTCGTTAGCATCACTGTTAGCAGCAGCTCGGCTAATGATTAGATGAGAAGATTTACATTGCAGAGAGTTAAATAGATGCTAGTTTTTACCTAATAATATTTTTAAATAGTAACATCATTAAAATTAAAGCTCTATGGGATCATTATTGTTGCACATTTGTCATCTATTGTTCATCTTTCTCTGCCAAAATCATGTAATTTTTGTGTTCTGTGTATTTTATAGTATGGCATATAACGTTTGCTTCACAGCTACAAGCCACCTAACACAGAAACCAACCCCACATTGGAAGATCCTACACCCGATTACATGAACCTGCTCGGGATGATCTTCAGTATGTGTGGCCTGATGCTCAAGGTGACCTGACTCTCATCTACATAAACACCTGTGTTTACAGTAAACCCTTTATGAATATCCTATTGTTTATGACTAAAACATGAGCAGACTGATGCACAGCTCTGATTTAATGCTCAAATTGTGGTGTATTTGTGGTTTTGGCAGCTTAAATGGTGTGCGTGGATTGCAGTGTATTGCTCGTTCATCAGTTTTGCCAATTCACGAAGCTCAGAGGACACCAAACAAATGATGAGCAGCTTCATGTGAGTTGCTTATGCTTGTTTGTTTTTCTTATGATTAATACAAGTGTTGGATAATTACTTTATTGTTTGGTCTTTTCATAGAATTTCAGACATTTCATCTACCTAAAGAAATCCTCAAATGTAATGCTTCTGCGCTTGTTTGCCAGATTAAACGTATATTCCTTAAACGTTCATTCCTTCAGGCTGTCCATATCGGCCGTCGTGATGTCGTATTTGCAGAACCCACAGCCCATGTCGCCACCGTGGTAACAAATAATCCAAACCCAATAAGCCATCTCAGCAGGGACGGCATGAGAACCAGCTGATCCACCCACTGTCCTTCTGGAACGCAGGGACATACACTCATCAGCCCAGCTGGCCAATCAGAGGCTGACAAATTGACCGATGTAGTCCCTGTTCGACCGTTTCAAGTTTTCTCTGTGCACACCATTTGTTTTTATGTATGTGACCACACTGGTAAAATATTAATATGCTGTGAATGATTTTGAGAAATAAATGAGCTATTTTGTGTGCGGCTTCAAACATTTTCATACTGTATATACACAAGTAATTAATGTTAATTAGGACACTTTGAAGTGCAAAACTGGAGTTAGATGTTAATGTATTCATCCTGCTGCTGCTGCTGCTTCTAACTCAATGTGTGGACAGAAGTATGAATAAGCCTTTTATTCTGAAAGATTTCGTTTTTCTGAGAAGAAACCGCTTCAAAAGTGATATACAGCACTACATAGACATGCCAGATTTGTTCCTCTCAATGGGTCCAAGACGGATTCTGCACAGGCCTGGAGGATTTAAGGAACAACTGGCAACTCATGAACTGGCATTTTTGAAAGAGTATTCTTATTATTAGGAGCAATGTGCATAATGTTTTTTGACCGTTGTCTTTGTAAAACTAAGGTGGTTTCTTAAAAAATCTGTTAACCATGTTTGATGGTAAAATAAAATTTGTGTTTGTCCATAACCTATTACACCACTAGGTGGTCACAATTGATCTGATCACATTTCTTTCAATATCATAATTTAGGAATGTGTTTCTGCTCATCTAAGCATATGTTTAATGATTGGCAAGTAGTTTGATGCTATATCTTTATCCACAACAAATCTAATTCTCACGAATATGAGGAGTGAATCTGGCTCTTTAATTTGAAATAAAAAGAAAGTTTTATACATGCACACACACACACACACACAGTAATGATAATGTTTAGAAATTGCTGAATGCTATGTAATAGGCTTATTACATATTACATACATTTTGCCTGTAACCTGTAAATTGCCATTCAAATGTTTGGACAAAACAAAAAAGAACACTAGAAATGTTAGTCAAATCAAAACTGTCTTGTTGCCGAAATCCAGCTCGTCTCTGGGCTGATTTTATTTCATCATTTTATGTTATTTTTATTCTTTTGCCCCGTGCTCACCAATTTATACATTAAAACATAACATTAAGAATGAAACTTTACATACAACAATTGTATAATCTAAAATAACAAGAAACAAAAACGTATTCAAACTTTTGTGAATTTAATTTATGAAGACGAATGTTTTATGTCATTGATGGTCAAAGCTGAGTCAGCATGTTACCGTCATTTCACAATTCAGAGCCCCCCTTTCTTACGTCTGATCACGCGTATTGGCTAACTCCTTATTCATATGATGTTAAGCCAATCCAATAATTATATTTTATTGTGAATTACTATAAGAAATATTATTGTTTGTTAATACATTTTCATTACGTAGCCCTCCAACTGATCAGTGAAATTTGCCTTTAAATTTCCCTCATGAATAATATTATGTACACTCTCCCAATAAACCTGAGCAAGGAAGAGAAAAACACACATGACCATACTGTCTCTCACCCAGCGCGCAGCAGCAGTCAAAACGCGTAGTTCTGATCCGCGCCTCTGCTCTCAGCACCAGGACAGTCACGTATCCGTTACACGCACAGAGCGCGAGACTCCTCGTACAAGCGCATGCGGCTCTCGCGCCACGTAGACTCGTTTCTCGAGAGCCTTGACTGAACACATCGAGAATCAAAAGATTACACTGAGAAAGAACACACAATTGTCTGTTTTGCCCAACGAAAATACTTAAAGACAGAATGTTCCGAGCTTGAAGATGGATATGACCTCTTGCTCTGAGACAAAGGACCTCGGACCATTCAGTTTGTGGAGTTTTAGTGGTAGTTTTGTCAGTTATAAACTACAGGTGATCCGGACGAGTCCAGATTGCAGGATCATCTCTGAAAAAACAAACCTCTGTGGTGAGTGTCTCTTTAATTTCTCTGTTCACAATCGCTTAATGTTTCATATATAAAGATATGTGTATGTAATATTTTGCTTGAGCCTATATACAAATTTAAAATTTAAATGTTTATATTATATAAAATGTGTGTATAACGTAAAATGTGAAATTACAACATTAACACTATATACTAATTATGCATTATACTTGTATTATATACAACTATTTTGTCTGTAAATAGGCTATATTTATACATTTAATATTTGTTTTAGTATCTATCTATCTATCTATCTATCTATCTATCTACAGGTGCATCTCAATAAATTAGAATGTCGTGGAAAATGTCATTTATTTCAGTAATTCAACTCAAATTGTGAAACTCCTGTATTAATTAAATAATTAATTTTTATTGGTCTTATTCCTAGTGAACCAAACTAAGAGACCATTTTGAAGGCTCAGGAAACCTTTGCAAGTGTTTTGAGTTGATTAGCTGATTGGTTTGCATGTCACCATATTCTAATTAGTTGAGATAGTGAATTGGTGGGTTTTTGTTAAATGTGAGCCAAAATCATCACCATTAAAAGAACCAAAGACTTAAACTACTTCAGTCTGTGTGCATTGAATTTATTTAATACACAAGTTTCACAATTTGAGTTGAATTACTGAAATAAATTAACGTTTCCACGACATTCTAATTTATTGAGATGCACCTGTATCATGTGGCATCAGAGAAGAATCTTTAATCTTTCTTTGGTTGGAAAGTACCATAAAATACCATGGTACAGTACCTTTGGTCATTCTGTGGTATTCTTTTCAAGTACCTTGCAGTAAATACCATGGAAATACTATACAGTATATCAAAATACTATGATTCTACTGCCTGTTATATTCACTGTGCCATAGTATCATCTTAGTACTTTTTTGGTCATGTTTAACACATACTTTTGTATTTGTTAGATGATCTTTTGCCAGTCTTTTGCTGTTCTCGGTGTGATGGCTTACAGCCAGAGCTATTTATCATAATGTGTTCATTCAGCAGATACCATATTATTTATGCTCTGAATGGTACTAAATGCAGCAAATCATTTTATTGTGTTTAAACATTTATTCTGCCCTCCTATATAACAGTACATATGTCAGCATCCGAATTGGCTGAGACTTTGATTTTAGCCATTTCTGACTACCGTTCACAATAAAAAATAAAAAAACGTGTAATATGCCTAATACACTGGAGAAAAGTCTAAAAATCGAGTTCAGTCTAGAAAAACTGATCTCAAGCTTGATACATGACATCTTTGAATAGGGACTTGATGGCCATTATTTCTATCGGTAAGTTTTTGTGGTTTTGGAGAACTTTGTAAATGTCACCCTAATTGCATGCATTCATACACACCCACACAATGGTGAGGCTGTCTGTGGGCTGGTTCAATGGAGATCCAGCCCACACAAATGGCCACTTGCTGTAACACACAATGATGCAAATGAAATCATCCAAAATTGGGTCTTACTACCTTTTGTGGCTATGCCTATGCTCTACCTTGCCGTTACAGCGAGATTTATGGTGTTGTCGCTTTAGCAAACAAAGAAAAGCGGGATTCTTTTGTCTAGTCCAGGAAGCAGCCAATGCATCAAACCCTTTAAACAAGGATGAGATGTGTTCCTGACTAAAAATACAAAAAACATGAATGTCATGATGCTGCCAGGCTCCAGGAAAGGACTTAAAAATGTGTGAAGGCCTTTCAAGATGTCTTCTGGTTCTCCTTCACCTCACTGAATATATTCCCTGTTGGAAATGGCATGCGTATTGTAATAGCTTTGCTCTCCATTGGCCAAAAATAAAGAGGCAGATTTAGTTAGTTCCATCTTTAGTGTCTGATCATTGATACAAGCTGTGACTCTCCTAATCACAGCCTGACAACAAAACCCGCCTGTCAACAAAGAGCACAGCCACAATAAGGACTGTGTGAATGTATTCCATTCACATTTTGGCTACTGTGCTTATCTTTTCCTGTGCTTTACTCCATCTGTGTCTTTCTTTTCATCTAATCTTTGTACTTGGGGGAAGATCACTATAGCATTTGCCACAACTTCAGTGCTTTGCTTTCTGAAACAGAACAGTAGAAGTGCTATCAGCCCTTCTGGCTCGTCTCAAAGAGCCTCAGAACCTCCAAAAGCATAAACTTCTGCACTGCATTGTTCCTGTGCATGTGTGAGTATGTATTTGAAATTGTTGAGTGTGTATGTGTCACTTTAAATTACTTTATTTCTCCACCCGTGTCACAGTGGACAAATTCTTCAAACACAGTCAGCACATATCGTAGTGCATCATTTATTTTCACCTGACATTGGTCTATTGCAATTTTCTCTAAACAACTATGCAGCCTTTTTTAATTAAACCTCCCTAGGTGTTTTTTCTACCCTCTGCTTTCCTTTCCCACTTGATTACACGTCACATATTTTCCCCTTCATTTCCTTTTTTTTTTTTTTTTGCTGCTGTCAGTTTTTATTATTATGATGAAGATGATGATTTATAGTATTATGAACAACATCACTATAAAAATATTTTCTAATAAAGACATTTTATTTATAATGTTTATAATGCTGTGGAAAAATAAATAAATGTTATTTATTATTTATATATTTGCAGCATTACCATCTTAATGTAAGTGTTCCAATAAAAAAATAATAACATGTTATTATAAAATAAAACAATAATAACATGTTATTATTAGCAATAATAGCAATACCAATACTACATCAAAAACAAGAACATAATAATAATAATAATTATTATTATTATTATTATTTATTATTATTATTTACAGCATTATGAACACTATCACAATATAAATGATTAAATTTTCCACTAAAGACATTATGTTGTGAAGGTGTTCATAATGCCACAAATAAATATATTTATTTAAGTAATTAATTAATTAATTTAAGTCTTCCAATAAAGAAATAAAACGTTACTGTCAAAAAATAGAAATAATAGCAATACCAATTCTAAAACAACAACAACTTAATAAAATAATAATAATTATTGCTTTTGTTGTTGTTGTTGCAGTTCTACAAACGGTATATAATGTATTGTATTATACATTAAAAATGAATCAAAGGATAGATTTTATGCTCATTTACACTTATAAATCAATGTCTTGATACAAGTACATTTAATTTTAATATTATATTTTAAATATTAATTATATATTTTTAATATTATATTTTAAATTAAAATTACTCATAAATATACTATATTAACTATATACTATATATAACTATATTCTTTAAAACAATGACAACAAAAACAAAAAAGATTACACCAAAAACGTTTTTGTAAAAATACAGTAATTTCTCTACTTTCTGCCCCCATAGAGCCATGCTGTCTCCCATGTATGCAGACAGCTCAGTCATCATGGAGAGAGCGCCGCCCTTGCGGAAGGGAGGGAGAGTGCAACCTCAGGGCCACAAACTGCGCTCTCATCCTCCCACCAGCGGAAGCAGTGTTTGTGCCAACCCGACCTACTATCATACTGTGTATGACATGAGTGATGCAGCATGCCATGACTACAGCAAAGCTAATGGAGGGGAAACGGTAATGATCGATGGGACACTTTACTCTTTGATGCCCAGTGACTCTCTGGTTCCTCCTATCAGAAGGAGAGGAGGCCTAGTTGACCACCGTGATGTCATCAAAGCACACCAATCCCATAAATTGCAGAGCACTCCACAGGCCCAACGAAAACAATGGGAGTGAGTATTAAATAATCTGTTACTTTTTGAAATGTCTTGGGTTTGATGACTTTGTTATTTTGAAATGTACTAGAAAAAAGTCCATCATAAAGCACCAATCACGTGTTTTGGCATGTTTAGTCATTTGATGACATTTAAGTTTAATGTGCTTTTGTTCAAGTAGTTTAATGTCAATGCTAGTCCTATGAATTTAATTATCAACAGCATAATCTTGTTTCATACTGAAATGTCAACTGATGGAAGTGATTGTGAAATACACCCACCTCATTCATCTTATTTTTTTTATCTACCATAATTTTTTTTTATGTGCAAGATTGTACAAAATGTGGATTCTAAATCTATCCCTCTGAGACCTAGATTGTTGCCATGCCTCCTCTACAGCCTTCAGGGAGCAGACTGTCACTTAAAATATTCATCTCCCATCATATCTCTGAGAATAAAGGGTAGGTCATGTAGGTGTGTGTGTGGAGAGGATGTGTATGGACATTGATGGACACATTGATGACCGCTGCTTCATTTGGACCCTGTGTGTGTGGTTTTGCCTGACAGCAGTTAGTGAATGTGAAAACCTTGAGTTCTGGTGAAACAGATATTGTTTGAAATCTGGAATGGATAGGGAGCAAATTCAGACCAAGATGGAAACATATTAAGGCAAAAAGGACAGTTGTGGTGATGTTTTTTTTTTTGGCAAAGTTGTTTTTGTGTTAGTGGCGTAGAAAGTCTGTTTATATTCTTGTGTTGTGATTAGTGGGTACACGCTCCTCACGGACTTGTCAGCTTCAGTCAAATCCTCTGCTGACTTTAGCTTATAATTGGAGACCGTCAAGTTGATGTGTGTATTTCTGTGCAGCTAGCAGCACCAAATAGAATAGCAAAAATCATGCATTCCAACCTTCCATAGTTTGGACAAACAGGTACATGAAATATATATATATATATATATTTTTTTTTTTAATGCATTATATATATTTATTCTATATTATACATTATATACATAATGATTTATATATTTATACATTTATATTTTTTACGTTTATATATTTATATTATGCCAAGATATAAACATAATTTCTTATTTTTATGTAATTTATATGTTATATAAAACTATAAAAATTATATCTGTATTTATCACTTTATATTTACTTGTTCTTTGTATCATACTTTATATTATTTTATAGTTTTAGATAACATGTAAATTACATGAAATAAACAAAACAAAAAAACTATTTATATATGATTTACACATTATGTCAAAATATAAACATAATTTTATATTTAAAAAATATATAAAAACTGACTTTATGGCTTATTTGTAGTTGTTTTTGGGACAGAAGGAAACAATTTTACCTAAATATAGTTCACCATAGAGAGAGCATGTTCTTTTTCACCTTGACGTATCCTCGGCCTCAGGTCTCTGGTGTTTAGAAGAATTAGCCTGGGTTTTGTTGTGTTTGCGTCACGGTGGGACCAAGTTACAGTGAACGTAGTGTGACAGTGGAATCCAGTCACGATTTTTGTTGCGCTTTAGGGGTGTGGAGGCTTCCACTCTCATCCCTCACCCACTCAATCTGGCAGCTGTAGCAGCGGGGAGACGTGAGATAACAGGTTACTGAGAGAAAATGCACTCTCACTTTCTTTCACTGACTCATTTCCCCTTGCTCTCTTCTCTCTTTCATTTTCCCTTTCTTGTCTCTGGTCTGGGAGTGATCAGCTGTAACTAAATATGAGCTCAGGGAGTCTGTCACACAGCAGAAATGCAGATAAATGCACAAACAAATACACAAACAAGTATAAGATGCACAAGATGTTGCAGTTCATACATGCAATGGGGTCCAGAAGTCTGAGACTACATTGAAACTTTTCATGTAATCTTTAATGTAAGTCTATGTGTGATATTGACCATGCAAACTGCATTGTGGAGATGGTCAGATGTTCTTGCACCCATTGAAGCACAAGATGCTCTCTGCATTTTCCTAGCCGTTAGCCTGGAAACCATTTTTGAAATTTTATGAATTTAAATTCATGTACTTTAATTTCAATTAATTATTTCAAATGTATATAAATTATTATATATTAAAATTGTGATTTATTAATTGTTTTTATATTTTTGTATTTAAGAATTATTTTAAATATTTAAAACTCTCATTGTGCTTTATTATATATATATATATATATATATATAAATTTTTTATTAATAGTTTCATACATTGGCCTGAAACTGTAATACTGGCCCCAACTTTATTGTTGAGTCCTAAAATTAGAAGCAATTTCATTAGTACATTGGAGACTAGACTCTCTTTTTCCTCTTTCACACATTCTCCTGCCACTGCCTTGTGTTCAGTGTTTTCCATAAACACGGGGTACGTCTCTCACACACTCTCAATTAGAGCAGTGCAGCCTCTTAAATAGACAAAAAAAGTTTGTGTCTCTCAGCTGTGTATTGCTTCTATTTTCCATCCCTTCATCTGTGTCCCTCATCCCTCCCCCTTATCTGGGCTGAAAATTACTTCAAATCTTATTTCAGTGTACCTCCTATTTGGGTTTAGAATGAAAAGCTGTAAAATCTAAATATATGCTGTGAAGTGGTTTACATTTAGACTGTACAGACACACACAAACACACATAATCACACACAGTCTTATACAGAGTCACTTGGCAGCAAGTGCGGGCAGTGTGACAAGGGGGCAGTTTTTGAGCGGATGCTTCCACAGTTTCAGCTGGCAGGAGAGACCTAAGCTGCATAAATAGGGTAGCCATGCTATTTTTAGCACCCATAAAAATTGGCTTTTTAGTATTACCAAGGCCGCAATGAACGAAAGCATTGATTTAAGACTGAGAGATGATTTGTGGAATGTGACGTTACAGGTGCGAGGGTGCATGATGGGTCAATGTCATCCTGGCAGCTGGCAGCTGCAATCCTTTTCCCAACGAATGAGAGAGTGCCAACAGACGTAAATGTACAGACTTCCTGATTAGATTCTGCAAATAGTTTCCATGTTGATTTATACCAGTTGCAAGGGTAGAAATTATCAAGTGATTGGACCTTGGTGAAATTTTATTAATTTTATGAAGCATAATTCTTTTCCTTAGACTATATGAGATAATTTTTGTTATATTTGTGATGTTGATTTTAAAGCTTCACAATTTTTACCTGTACAATAACTAACTTAATGAAACTCTGAAGATGCAAATGGTATCTGAAAGAGTTAGGAATATATATAAATATATAATATAAATATATAAATATAATTACCTTCATATAAAAACAATAAAATTCAAAGAGACCATGATAGAAAACTAGTGTGAGAAAGACCAAGGAGACATTATATATTTAGTTGATGTGAGAGAATGGATGGATCAGTAGATGAAAATCATCTAAGGAATTTGTGAAATGGAAAGTAAAGGAATGAAATATGCGGCAATCAAGATGAGGAGTGAAACAGGAGACAGGTTGAGCGTTAAGACCAATGAGAACAGACGGCAAGACATCTGAGTGTCCTCTTAAACACTGAGCCATTGTTTGTTTTTCTTTAGTCCACCTTTCCAACTCTCTTATCTTCTTTTCTTTTTTATCTTGAATCAATCTGGCTTATTGCCATGCATTGGAGACCTGTTCCAGACAGAGGTGTCCCTTAGGACCTAGTTTCTCCAATGATGTGTGCGTGTGTATATTGATTGCTTTCTGGTGTGGTTGGGAAATCGTAATTCCTGACGTGTTTTAAACCCTGTTTTTATTGAACTTTCGAATACACCTCAGCAGTTTCCATGCAACTATGTCTCTGCATTAGATTCATTACTCTACATAATTACTTGGCTGGATCCGAATAGCTTGCAAATGCATTACGTCAATCTGTGTCGTAAACCAGCACACTGTCTGGTTTTTGAGCATAATTTATTATACCTGGGATTCCTGTCAAACCACAGTGTTCTCAGAGCCTGAGACTGCACCTCCTGCATCTCAATTATGCATTTGTGCCATACTGTCTTCCTCTAAGAGATCTCAGAGGTTTGTGATGTGTGTCTGTGCGACAGAAAGCAGAACTGGTTTGATAGTCTGATCCTAAGGCTGGAATGAATGTTCATTCTGTTTGTTTCAAGAGTTTGTGTCTACTTAAAGAAATTAAGTAGTTAATGAAATTAAAATTTGCTGAAAATTTACTCACCTTTAGCTTCAGGCCATCCATGATGTAGATGAGTTTGTTTCTTCATGGGAAGTGATTTGGAAAAATTTTGCATTACATCACTTGCACACCAATTGATCCACTGCTGTGAATGGGTGCCGTCAGAATGAAAGTCCAAACAGCTCATAAAAACTTCACAATAATCCACAAATAATTCACAAGACTCCAGTCCATCAATTAACGGCTTGTGGAGCGAAAAGCTACATGTTTGTCAGAAACAAATCAATCATTAAGATGTTTTTAACTTCAAACAAGTCCTTTATCCATATGCTGCTTTCTCCAGCAAAAGTCATCTCATCTGAATCAGGAGAGAAATACAGATCAGGCACCGTTTACAAGCTAAATGTTGGTGGATTTTGATATGAGAGGACAACAGGAGATGGGATTTATTTTTTCACTGGAAGGAGCATTATTATGGATTATGGTATTTTGGCCAGAAGCGATGGTTTAAAATGAAAAAGCCTTAATGATGAATTTATTACAAACACACAGCTTTTTGCTTCACAAGACATTAATTGATGGACTGCAGTCGTGTGGATTATTGCAATGTTTTTTATCAGCTTGGACTCTCATTCTGACGGCACCCATTCACTGCAGAGGATCTATTGGTGAGCAAGTGATATAATGCTAAATTTCTAAAATGATATAATGCAATTTATTGTTTATTTTTTTTATCAAATTTTATTTTGTGTGAACTATTCCTTTAAAACAAACTAATCTGACCATTTCATAATCAGAGATTCAGTTTAAAGAGAGAGAAAAATGGAAATTCTGTCATCATTTACTCATCCTCATGTTGTTCTTTGCTTCTGCTGCAGA